TCAGGGTCAGACCAACTGCTGCATTTGGGATCAGGAAAGAATTTTACACCATAGTCAGACTGGCATCGATGGGGGTGGGTGGGGGGCACTGCTTTTCTCTGTAGCAGAGGGAGTGAAGGGGTGAGTATGACCCTTTTCCTTGTATTGCTTCAGGTATTTTAACAACTTTCCCTTCCAGCTCTACTTTAAAATTACAGCTCAGTACCAAAGCTTCTTCACAAGGTTTAAATAAACTTGCTTTTTCTATAGTATTTTATTCATGCTTTATTTAAAAGCTACGGAAAATTAGGGAACTGAATACTGCCTAATAATAAATTATTAACACACTTTACTTTTTTGGTATCTCCTCTCCAAAGTATGTCTACGCTACATGGGTAAAATGATAGCTGGTAAAAAATGTCTTGTGCAGACAAACCCTTAGGTTTCTCGACTAAGACACTTTGTTTCAAAAGTGATAAGAAGAACGAATCAAAACAGTTTTTCCATTTTTTCAAAATATTTTTACATCTGTTTAAGAAAAATTTATAGTACAACAAATATTGGGGTCCTTTGGACAGAGAAAATGCTACCTTTTCATCAATCAAAAAATGTTTTCTATTTAAAGATGAACTGAGAAGCTTAAAAGAGAACACAGTTAAACCTGTAAATAGGTGTGGAGGCTTTCACAGCCTTTAAAGATAAGTTTTAAGCCATATTTTTACAAATCCACCATACCATTCCTGACACTTACAACAGCAATTTTGAGACAGCTGAGATGCATAAGGTCTGAACCAAGATAAAATAGATGAAGGAACTTTCCATCCTTCAAATACAGCATAAACTCAATTTTACATGCCCCGGTATTAACGAGACGGGACGGAAAGGGAAGGCCACTAATTCCTAACTCAGGGATGACAAAAATATAGCTTGTGGAGCCCTATTATTCAGCCGCTGGGTCTCAGAGTGACCCCATGCACTGCATGTATTGTGCAGAGCTGGTCTGGTGCACAAGCTGCAGTGCATAGGATCAGCATGCAGCATACACTGCATGCTACATCTTTCTGGACTGGCCATGTGAATTGGCTCCAGGGCCCATCTGGGTTGAGTCCACGGGCTGGCCCCATACCAAAACCAGCATGTGGGGCTGGTCTGGGGCAACACATGTTGCACGCATTGCACATGGCTGGGCTAAGGCACGTACTGCACAAGATGCCTGCAGTGGATCAGCCCCGCATGCTGGCTCCAGTATGTGGGGCCAATTTGTGCGTCCAATCTAGCTCCCAAATCAGCCCTCTGACCCTCATCTGGCCCATGAGAACACCCCATGTACACTTTGTAACCTGGCTCTTCAAATCTATCAAGTGTCTGGCACCTCCTCATTTCAGAGCATTTCAAGCCGTGCTCATTTTATAATTCTGCTAATACACCGTGCTACAACCAGTCTGGTCAAGTACAAGAGGTTCATTAGAGGGAACAGCTGCCTTTGGAACAGAACCGTCTCAAATATACAAATGTATTTATGACCTCATTTATCATAGTTATGCTAGACACTTAACTATGATACAAGTGCAAGCAGGGCATATACCAAACCAGCCAAGGTTGAGTTTAAGGTTTAGCACTGCTGTAAGGAACTGGGTGTGCGCTCTGTGCATGGCAGTAGGTTTGAGCCAAGATGGAGTTTGCGGTGGAGTCTGACAGCACATCTGGATACAAAGCTGCTTGTGTGGCAAGGCATAGGAGCTCGTGTGCATGGAATGTCACCCGGCAATTTCCCAAGTTTTGGTGATTGCATTCATAGTCAATGCACTTGAACAAACTTCCTATTGATTTTAATCACAGGTTTGAGGTGTGGATGGCTACCAGGAAGAGAAAAGTTGAGCATGACAAACTTCATACACATTCCAATTCTATCCATCATAATGATGACACAACTCTCATACTGTAACCATTACATGTAGTGCTAGAGATTATTTTTCGGACTGTAACATCGTTATAGAACAGTCAGAAGCATTTAGAAGTGATAGTTAACTTGTTCCTGATGTAGGCTAAGCACTCAAATATTTCCAAAGCGTAATCTGTTTTGCTTAATGGGTTTATGACATTTCAGAACAGCATCTTTTTCTAAATACATATATACATAACCTGCAGAGTTCAGAGCTCTCCCAATTGTTGGGAATTTTTTTTTTTTTTTTTTTAAAGAACATATACAGCAGTAATGCTTACCTCAAGAATTGCAAATTAGCTTAATCCCAGATTTCAAGTAAATTGATCTTTACATTTTTTTAATCTTGTGCCTCAAAAACTTGCAGGTTACCCGACATAAGATGGTGTGGTATGTAACATTAGTTATATTGTAAGAAGAAATCCTTAATAAAAAGCACAGTCTTTTAATGCAGTTAGATATAATTAATCCTCCATACATTTTTATTGGGAAATCTAAAAGATCAAGCTATTTCCTCAGGTGAAGCTGCAATTCTTGAAAAGTCTCTGTTTTTACAGAGTAGGCAAAAATACCTAGCAATTTTATCAATTTCAATTTGACATGATTTATATTTCACAGCATGAATAAATGAAATAAGTAACCTTCTTCATGTAAACAGTAAAGCTACCTATGTGGAAGCAGATATCACCATGATACCTAAAGAAGTTCTCTGGTGTATTAGACAGAGACATCAACATCCAACTGCCCCACCGTGCTCTTCATTGAAAGAGGCTGGTCTTGGGATATATGCCTACTGGTGGTTAATTTTTATTCCTCCATTTCCCTTCACTGCGGTTATGGTGGAAAAGTGTATTCAATAAATAGTCGGTCAAAAATCTTGGGGTAGAGGTGATATCTTTTATTAGACCAACTAAATTAGTAGCAAAATAAATGTCTTTCTTTGCAAGCTTTCAGGCCCAAATGCCCTTCCTCAGGCATAGGAGAATTCAAAGACTGTAAAAAATCCACTCAGGTAGAAATGAAACTTCATCTTGCACGGGGAAGGGAAAAGACAGTAGGGTTCCCCTGGGTATAACAGTCCATTTTTAAAAAGATTGCTATTTAGTTGGTCTAATAAAAAGATACCGCCTCTACCCCAAGATTTTTGTCTGCCTACGCTTTTAGACCAACATGGCTAAAACCAGTGTCCTTTTAATAAACAGTGAAACTGAAGATTATCCAAGCTGGTCAATAAATTGAGACCATAGCCAAACGCTCTGGCTTAAGAATGTGTAGTCTCTGGCGTTTTGTCCGAGGCTCTGTAAACCTCGAGTAGCATGACTCTGTTAGGGGATCATAGATGGAAGGCTGTGTAGTATGCCATTCTGTTACAATTACTCATTTGATGCACTTTTTTTTTTTTTGAAGTACATTTTTAGAGCTGGCAAGAGGTAGTGTTAGAGACTACCTTGTTGCATCTCCAGAATAGGAACAGTATGGGCATTATCAATGACACCTTCCCCTGCCTGTCCTGACAACAACACACTTCACCCTGAATTGGGAGGACCACTGCTGATTCAGCTTCCACAAACAACTGAAGTCCTTCAATTAACTCTATAAAATGGCAAAAAGGGTAGTTATTAGTACCCGGAGCGATTACAGCTTTTGGAATGTACTCACTAGTCATCTGGAAGTTGAAGCAAAAAAGTCACCAGCACTTTACACACACACACACACACACACACACACACAGCAGGGGTAAGCGACCTGACTGGATTTGAACTGACAACCGAAATACCTTACCATGCTGTCAGTCCCCTGAACCACCCTTCTCTCTCTCTTTGTGCCATGCTCTATTTGCGGTGCTTAAAATTTGTATCCTCCAGTATACACTATGCATTTAAAAATATATATTAAAAAAAAAGTGACAGCCTCCATTCTCTCCTCCCCCAAACATTTTTCATGTTCATCCTTCATTTAATCCATCCCCATAGAGAGGCAAGTCTTGCAGCAGTGGAAGCAGTATGTAATAGCATGTGGCTGGCTGATGAATTCAGAAGCAAGGCTAGGAATGGGATATGTTGAATGAAAGAAGAATTGCATTCAGTCCTGGAACAGGCCAATTGTCCTGTTTCTATTATTAAAAGCAAAGACAGACATAGGATGAAGTGGACCATTTATCTTCTAAAAGCAAAGAGACACTCCCAGGCTAAAAAAGTCTTTTCTAAGGAACTTTTTTTTTTTTTCTTAGTAATAACATGCTACATGCTCACACTCATTCAAGAGCCCCCGCTACTATACGTTTTTGAAGATAAAGAAGGGAAATGTAACGATATGTTACCATGCTGCCATCTCTCGGTAAGAGTATAAAAGAAACAGACAAATAAAGATGGCTGAACAACAAGTGGTCTGAGCTCCCATCATCTGCCATGCCCATAAAACAGGACTTTTAACTTGCCCTCCTGGCAGATTCAAGACAATCTCAAGATATGTACAGCTGAGCAGTGTGAACTTGTGAGACTTCTCTCAGGTAGCATGCTCTGCTCTTAGCTCTAACATTGTCCAGGTGCAAAAAACCAAGCGTTTCAACCCCCAGGAGAGTATTTATAACCTATGGATGATGAATATACTATTCAGTATGAAAAAGGGCACTTAATATTAATTTCTTTGCCTCAGCGTAGGATCTCAGAAAAACAGTATGTAAAATGCAAACTACTTCTTTAACATTTGCATACAAATTGTATATTTTTAATTTTGTGTAGGATGATGGACTGGGTAATCTTGGGCAAGTTTCTTATACTCTATTTCCTCACTTGTGAAACAGGTTAGAACTAATCTTTGCAGAGGTGTGGGAAGGTGTAATTAACTGAAGTTTGTACAGTGCTTTGTCATCTTCTGATGCTATGTAAAAGAATTATTTTTAAAATAAAAGTTTTAAGAAGCAAAAGGCATGTTACAGCTAGTTTTAGTGCTAGTGGGTGTTTGTATATTCTACAATTTGATTTAAAAAAAAAACCAGACTTGTGTACATTACTTTGCATCACAGTAGCAAAAAAAGAGAGAACATTTAGAAGGAGTCGAAAATCCATTATCTACTTACCTTTTCCTTATTGTTAGGTCTGACACCGGTATGCATCTTAGGCCAGCTCCTAGCACCATGAGGAAGGATGTTAACAGCACCGTTACCCTCAGACCTAGGAGAAAAAAAAAAAATTGCATTTTTTACAATTTACAAAAATAAAGCTGGAGTAATGCCAAAAATGAAGCCTGAATACATAATGCATCTGCAACCTAAAATTGTTTCTCTTTGGAAGCCATATTTTCCATAATAAATAATATCTACCACAACACAAGGCTTTATTAATAAGCTGTACAATAAAATATCAGGCTTTCTGCATTTGAGTTCCAATGCTGCAAAGAACTGTACCTCGGTATAACACTTTGCAGCATTAGGCCCATCATTTCTAAACATCCTCCTACGGGAAAAGTAACATGCTGTATTATTGCTATACATACTAAGATTCCTTATTATACTCAGCCGAGGTATCTGGCAATATGCTCCAACACGGGTTGAATTCTAAAAATCTCTGAACTAATATCCAGAGGAAAAAGTGGACCTCACATGTTCTTTTCTGAACAATAACTGAAGTCGTGAACGCTTGTTCATTCATGCTCTCTTTACTTTGTTTGTGCTGCATTCTTTTACAAACAGATTCACATTTCACCCTGCAGAAATGAGATTCCTTCACTGGAAGAATTGTTTTTTTTTTTTTTTTTTTTTTTTTTTTGTGTGGCATTTCTTGCCTTCAAGCCAAGTTCTGCTGTGTTCAGATCAAATGGTCAGACACTGTATACACAGGACATATTTTAAAAATTAAGTTACAACCGACTGATTCCTCAAAGTATTTTTCTCTTCGTATCTGGGAGTCGGGAGCAATGAGCAGCTAGATCAAAAACGAATTCATTTCAGAGCTGAAAATGTATTTACCAGCAGTTTGCTTTCTCAGTACTGAGTCTATCACCAGCCCAGAGAAGGAAAGCAGGCATACACTGATAGAGTCAACACGTGAAATAAGTCAGACATCCACAGAATTGTAGAAGAGAAGGGCTGAAAAGAGACCTCTGGAGCTCATCTAGTCCAACCCCTTCCCCCCTGCTTGGGCAGGATGATGCCTATCTAAACCATCCTATATAAAGTCTTGTGAACCTGGGGCAGGAGGCACCTTGCTAGTAGGCCACAGATTAAGCCCTGCACCCTCCGAGTGCCATTCTGATCGCTTGCTCCTGCCTGATCTCCTGCTCAACTTTCTGCTCCCCTCCTATCTGCCACATACTACACAGAACTGCCCATGCCACTCCTGGCACGTATGCCACAGGCTGATCACCCCTGGTCTAAATCTATTACTAAGGCTGGGTACAGATATACAAAAAGCCCAAGCCAGAATCAATCCAATTAGGCGGTTTTGTGACAGCGGCATAGTTTAGATCGGTAGTGAACTGAACACACATTCACCCTTTGGTGATGTACAGGGGCGCTGCAAATCTTAGACCGGGATCTGCCATTTTTAAACCAGTCTGCATGTGCTGAACTTCTGTTGTATAATAGGTATAGACCAGTTTCCGATCACTTATACTGGTAAAAGTACAATGTCTGTACCTGGCCTAAAACTACACAAACAACTTAGTCACGCAACTGCAAGGCATGGCACCCTCACCTCCCATAGGCAAACCAGGGGGACAACAGCAGCCAGCATAATGCATACTCAAGAACTCAAAGGAAAAGGGCCAGTGAGAAAATATTATACGTTTCATATCTATGACTTGAGACCTACAACTTGAACTCAAGTTCTAACAAAAAGAGGTGCTTGTTCATTTTTGATGACTATTGTTATTTTCACTTTAAGTGTGCGTGAGAAATGTAATCTATTTTTTTTTAAATATCCAAAATAAACATATTGATGTTCTTTGAAGATCTCACAAAAAGCATACAGACGTGCATATGTTTGGAGCATTTTCAGTAGGGGAACACTTCCAAAGGGAAGCTGCTGACTGGGAGCATCCCATCAGTTTCACGTGGACTGGCCAGGAGAGAAGCACAAATGTAGCAAAAGAGCTTCCACTTTAACCCTGGATGAAACAGTGTTAAAAACCTGGAGCTGTTTTGTTACAGCTGCATTGTTTCCAGTATGCCTGAACACAATGGGTAGAACGTAACAGCTGCTGCAGAGTTTGGATCAAAAAGTCCCCCTTTCACCTTTTGAAGCTGTTCCAAATGTCCACGTGGCCATAACCAAAGGCTGGCAGTAAGATTAAGCTACTCTTCTAGGTTTCCTCCATCCCTGCTTCATAAACATCACCTCTAAAAGCAAGGCTCGGCCCCTAAAGAGAAATGCATGCGTATACCTGGCAGACAAGGTTCCTTGGGTGAATTTGATCTTTTTTATTAGACCAACCCAAATAGTTGGAGAATAGTTATTAAGCAAGCTTTTGGGTTCAAAAACCCTTCGTCAGGCTAAGGGAGTTTCAGCAGTTGGTGTGTGCTCTTCCTGGATGGAATGAAAAGTAAAGAAGCCAGGGGCTGGGCTGGGCTGGGCTGGGCAGTCAGTTGCCAGGCAGAGTATAATGTGTCAAAAATCCAATGTCTATGTTTAGTCCATGATCTCTAGTATCCAGCAGGTTGATGAAATGGAGCTTGTAGGCTTGTCTCTGGGAAGTGTTGTGTAAGTTTCCCTTGAAGATCAGGACTGAGAGACTGGAGAGAGAGTGGCCCTCCTGTGAGAAATGTGCCCCCACCGGTAATTGGGTGTTTCTGTCTTTGATGGATTTCCGGTGTGCGTTCATTCTGGTGCGCAGTTGTTGTTTGGTCTCTCCTACATATCTTCCACCAGGGCATTTGGTGCATTGGATGAGGTATATAACATTTCTGGAGGTGCAGCTGTAAGATCCTGGGATGCTGATGGCTCTGTTGTGGGGTGTAGTAATAGTGGGGGTGGTGAAGATGTGTTGGCAGGTTTTGCATTTCTTGTCCTGGCACGGTCTGGATCCTTTTGGTGTGTTCTGGGGTTGAGGAAGTTTGCTTCTGGTGAAGAGGTTGGCGAGGTTTGGTGCTTGTTTGTGTATTCCTGGGCTTTTGAAGGAGGAACCTTCTACCGAATGGTCAACGGGCATTAGCCAAGAGAAGGTTAAAAGCTTGAACAAATCCATAATATTTGTTTGTTTCAAGGACCTCCACTGGCTGCCAAAGATACCAATTTGATTGAGCATTTAACCACCACATGTCACAGTGAAAGTGGGTTTTTCAGTGCCAGTGTCTGAAGAGCACTTACTACTGTATCTGACAGTGTTAGTGCTAGCATTTCTATGCTTGACCTTTAAATGTCCTCTCTCAGTAAATATTTGTACCCTGTTTATACTTCTAGTACCTATACGCCAACCACAAAGTAGCTACCACAATGTATTTAAAAAGAAATTCCCAAACTCACTACTATTGATTGTTTATATTATGAAATGCATGCAATTCAATTTGGTTTCCCTTTCTCTGAAGTGGTGGTAGAGTAGGATTAAAAATAAGTGAGACCAACTTCTTAATTCTTAGCTCATGGCTTTCGTTTGTGGGAAAACTAAAGAAAAGGATTATCCACGTAGAGCTCATCTCACCACTATCCCATGTTAGTTATTCTCCAATTTTTCCATGGAATTGTTCAACTATTTGGTGGACATTCAAATGGGTGCCCAATGCTCCCTTTCCCTGCAGAGACTGTGATCTCTTGTTGAATGTCCATCTCCCCAAAAGTTGGAGTTGCATCACCTGGAAAGGGGAGAACGTACATCATGGGAATCTCATGGTGCATACTGGGAGACGTTGTCCAGCAGGAAAACCCAGCCCTTAAAGAAGTAGAACATAGGATTGACCAACTACATCCATAAGACTGCATCAGCATCTTGAACACAAGACCGTTCGGTTTTTGAATATTCATATTTATGATGAACTAAACCTTTCATAATGTTCAGACTTCTTAATGAAGTGTTCCATTTAGCCAAAACATCCAATTTTCCATTCAAAAAACAGTTGCTACAGCTGAAAATTTCTATCAGTCCTATTTCTACTCTTTGCTCTGAAATAGGAGCATAACTATAGATCTCCTTTTCAACAGAAAAGTCCTTTCTTAACCTGTCGCTAGTAAACATATAGGAGTCAATTGGCTTATGTTTCCTTAAGTTTTTACTATTAATCTCTCATGCCAGGAAGTTTTAAAAGGAAAACAACAATTTAAACCCCACAAGACGAAGTAGTTGATAGCTCCAAAAACCTTGTAAAAAAACTTAAAACCTTGAGGTTCTAAATTGTATGCTATAGTGCGATGCTTTTAGGTCAGTGGTTCTCAGTCTCTTTGGACTGAAAGGCACCCCTCCATAACTCCTGTGAGTTGAGTGGCACCCAGTTAAAAAAATTAAAATGTATACATTATAATGCTTGCTTCCTTGCAGAAGGACTGGGCAGTGAGGGTTGGAGATGTTTCAGGCAGGGACAGGTCTGGAACGGGCTCCCAAGGAAGGTGGTGCTCTCCCCTACCCTGGGGGTCTTCAAGAGGAGGTTGGATATGCATCTAGCTGGGGTCATCTAGCCCCAGCCCTCTTTCCTGCCTATGCAGGGGGTCGGACTCGATGATCTACTGAGGTCCCTTCCGACCCTAACATCTATGGATCTAGGTTCAAACATGCCTTTACCCACTTAGTTTATCTGCTTATTTCCTTACATACCTTCAGCACCCTTCAAAGCACCTGGCAGCACCAGATGAGAATCACTGTTTTAAATGGTCTTTCTTTGACCTTCTGTTTCCTCTTAATATGCAAGTACACCTAAAAGTTCCCTTTGGTTAAAGAATAAATACAGCAAGTTAAAAACTGAGGCTCCAAAGGGAATCAGTAAGACAATATCAGGCAAGTAGCCTATTGTAGACAATATTATCATTGCTGACAATACACCCGGCTTCCTCATTGTTTTGTGTTGTTGTTGTTTTGGGGTTTTTTGTGGGGTTTTTTTTTTACTTCACATCTCTAGTCTTTTTTCTTTTTTACTTTAGTTAATGAACTAAAGATGATAATCTCAGGAAGACTCCCCAACTGCAGTGACAGTATGCTACAGTTCAGAACGGGCTTTTCATTCTACAGCCTGCATATATATTTTTGGTCT